ATTAAACACTAGAAAATGTCATTTTATTTATAGGTAAAATAGTTGCCGCAGGTGAATTTAGTATTTTCACTGCAGGTGGAAATTTGATAAATAAATATAAGCGACTGACAACTGCATGGAACATTTTCTGACATAACTGTATTACAATTCGAAAACCGTGGAGTTGCCTAGGCTATCATACCTATTTTTAGCATAATTGAATAAATTATTTCGGCAAAGCAAGTCAGTAGCAAACAACTATTCTATCTCCACGCAGTTCTCGAACTATCTAAACTCAGTTTGCGCGTCAGATATGAACAGATCAAAGGCATCTCATACCGTCGTTAGCAGTCCCGCAGTGACCTTAAATAGTTACAGAATTCCTCCAAGGCCCTATTATCGTTTGCAATTGTGCATGCACATCTCTCTTCTCGTGTAGCTGTATAAGCTCTGTCAGAAGCACGAACGCTGCTGCGTCTGAAGTGGAAAGCTACTGTTCAAGGATATCTGGATATATTAAGCATGAAGTTCACTGTTTGGTTGTACATGCAATTAATGAATACTGAAACGTGTTGGATTTTAGACTTATCAAAATCTTTTAAAGGGTTTGAATTAGAACATAGAACATAAGCAGTTGTTTTATGAATACCATAACGTGAAGTATTCATTTTAATGAGTGTATATACATATGCACCTGTAGATATATATTTTATGACAATACAGAAAGAAAGAGAGAGAAGCTGAGAGATGATATTATTTACACAACAAAAACAGACAGTGCTAAATTCTGTTATACATTTTATCCTTTTTATTTCATGAAATTCATCGTTTTTCTTTTCTTTCTAAACATCACGGTAAATTTATAATAGGGTGTTAAATAAGGTGGACAGGAAATTTTATTTCTGTAAGTATTAAATTTACACACATAAAGAAAGTCTCGATTATCCGACCTACTTCTGAATCAAAGTAGGATATCCGAGAATGTCATAAACCTTATAAGGTATTTCTCCCGCTTTCCTAGCGTGCCTTTATGGTGTGGTGGTCTCCACGCTGGGCGCGTATTCCAGAGGTTCGATTCCCGGTAAAAGCGTTGCTCATTTTTTAATCTCTCTTGCTACCAAAAAATCCTAATGTCTCTACAGTGGTGCACGAACTAAAAGAGTGGTGGATGATGCTTCTCCACACCGAGGATTTTGTGACTGGGTCACTTAAACCCCAGTCGACCATTGAAAGGGTAAGTATATAAAGTATTTCTCCCATCTTCTTAGCATTTCTTCGTGGTGTGGTGATCTGCAAGCTGGGCGCATATTCCAGAGGTCCGTGGTTCGATTCCCGGCGAAGGCGTTGCTCATTTTTCATCTCTCCTGCTTCCAAAAATATAATATCTCTACAGCTGAATCCGAACTAAAAGGGTGGTGGATGATGATTCTCCACACACAGGATTCAGCGATTAGGTCCCCTAAAAAGCCCACTCGTACTTTAAAAGAGGGGGAGTATGTAAGGTATTTCTCCCGTTTTTGTAGAGTGCCTTCGTGGTGTGGTGGTCTGCACGCCGGGCGCGTAATCCAGAGGTCCGTGGCTTGATTCCCGGCGAAGGCCCTGCGCATTTTTCAATCTCTCTTGCTTCCAAAAAAACCCTAATATCTTCACTAGAACCTTGTGAATGTATACAAAAGCTAAATTATTAAAATTACCAGAATGAATAAAAAAACAGTATCTTATTACAGACTTGCTTCAATTAGAAACAAACACTGCAAGTTTCGATGATTTAACTACCGATTCATCGAAACTAGCCCTGGAAAATTTTCAAATATAATGCTAATTTTTGTTGTTTGACTTCTAAAATAATCGTTGTTTGGCGTGTTATTTTAACCCTCTGAGCGTTACGGTTTTAGCCCTGAAATTTCAAAGTTTCTCAAAATTTCATTAATTAGTGGTATTTTCTTGATTTTAACTAGAAAATGACTCTCTCATTTTGTACCTTGATTCTTTGTCTTCCAATATACATCCAAACCGAAATGAGATTCACTAAAAGCTAGGAGAAATTTTCATGTATAATGAATATAGAAGCCAGCCTTCTATACGGAATTTTCCGGTCGTAACGCTATCTACATTATGTAAAAATATGTTAAAGTTTTTTTTTTTTTTTCTTCTACACCTATAGCAGTAAGTGTATTTGACTACAAAACAGAGACACTAAGCAATTTATGTTATTTAGGGCATTTTTTAATTATTTATTTGTTTTGAAATTAAAAAATTGCATATTTCAAAACAAATAAATACTTAAAAAAAAGGAAAATTTGAAAGGTTTCACATTTTAAATTACGTCTAAAGGGGCGTTTTTTTTAACAGTTTGCGTTTTACATTTATTTATTAAATATAATTTTCTTCGCATGTAAAACATAAAATTCAGTTCACAAAGCAATATGGCAACATAATTTTAAATTGAGCATATTTTTAGAATTTCCGATACAGAGTCTCACGCGCTGGAGATAAAAATGTTCTTTTCTGTACAGCGTTGCCATTGCTCGCTTTGAAATCCTTGAGTCGTTAGTCAAAAATTTGCTAAAGTTTTATAAAATATAAAATCGATAATAAAACAAATTCCAAATTTCAAATTTGGGATTCCAGATGCTCATATTCGCAGTAGGATTACGTCATTCAAAATTGGATTGGTTTAGGTACCGTTGTTTTAGCATACTGCAAGACACATACATACATTCATGCAGATTCTTCACTATTTAATTTCTTCAAATATAATACAGGGCTACATATTTGGTGGCAACAGTTTGAAAAGACAAACGGACGTTCAAGGTGATTCGACGGAAAATCGCAAAGCGAAACAATAGTCCTTCAGGGATAAAGCCCATTTGGACAAATGAACAGAAAAGTACACATGTGCAAGTGCTATTTTATCTGATTAATATGATGTATTCATTGATGATATTTTGATAAAAATGTGCTTGCAAGTATCATGCAAGTAAAAAAAAAAAAAAAACGGAAAGTCACTAAAGTTTCGTCTACCCACCCGCTTAACTTCGCCCCAAATATAAGAGCTCCTAAGATTTGGTCATTCAGTTGCAAGAGAACTGGTAGTATTCAGACTGTAAAATTCACCAAATAATTTCGACAAAAATTATATAAATAATATTAATGTTAATAATTAACATTTCTAGTTTAAGTTATATTTTCGTGTTATGTCACAAAATGTAAATGTCAAATAGAAGAACGTCAGACTAGGTCTCTACAGTACTTTCGTTTAAAATTTCTTGTCTCTATATTAAAGGTTTAAAGATTTTGCTTTAAAATCTAATATTTTATATTATCACAACAAAGTAAATCTTGCAGTCAGTAAAACGTTAATTACATGTGAATTAATTTACAATAAAAAGTTCCATAATTTTACATGCAAACGTTGTGAACATAATTGTGACATAATGAAAAATAATTTCAACCAAAAAGATCAAAGTGCAAGTATACAAGCATTTGGTGTTCTATACAGTAAAGGAAACATAATAATCAAAAAGAGCATATTTTCACTTGTAACTGTTCTCTAAATTTATTCTTAGAAGTCGTGACTTAATTGAGTTAAATACTCTAAAGTGAACACTTGTTTTCTTCCGAAGCCAACTAGGGACAAAATAATTTCTGACACGCGTGAGGGGAACTTTAATGCATAATATCTAAATTTCTCAAGCAATAAAAATAACACTTTCAGCTGGAGTTTATCACTTCTCACACATCTTAGTGAAGACTTTCAATGTAGGCTCTGCATGTTTGCTGGAAACAAATGTCCAGCACATATGTCGATGGATGATGTCTAACACATATGTCGATGGATGATGTCCAGCACATATACGCAGTTTATGATCCCAGAAATATTCTGATGGTGTAAGACGTCGGCTGATATAGTTTAGACTCAAATTAGTACTTGAGTTAATTCTTAAATTTTGCAACTGACATACCATCGTTTAACTACTGGAGTTTATTGAACAATTTAAGACCAAAAGCTTTCTCTTCTCAAAGTATTTTATTGCTATTAATTAAGTAATATTTTACAGTTTTTAATTTCTACAAATTTTTATAAAATTGATCCATTTAAAATTATTTAATTGTTCCATTCCCAAATTTTATTTAGGGTTTTTTTGATTAAAAAATGCAAAGGAGGATAATGGGGGAAAAATAAACAGATTTTGCAATGGAATGTGTGTGCGAAACTGGCATAAAGGGGTACAGAACGATGTTGAGCAAAATATAAAAGCTTTCTGCCGTAAATTATCATACCTCACGAAGATTTCAAGCACTATGCATCGCTACATGAAATTGAAGCTCTTAGGCACGCATTTTATGTATGGAAACTGCGAACGGAACTAATTTGAGCACTCCGAAATCGTTCTTAGCATTTACTTTGAGTAGCTGCTCCATTTTAAACACAGCACCGTAGATAAAGTACAGGTAGAGGAGCTCTGCATTCGTGTAAAAATGCATATCCCACTAAAACAGGTCAGAAATGAAAGGTTCTCTCCTTAAAAGGATAAGGTCAGACCGTTATTTAAAAAAATATTGCTTTCAGCTGATTTGTAATAATAATTTTATTTGTAATAATATTTTTTAATTAGTTCCTTAATAGATTGCGGCTTACCAGACTGACACACATTTGTGGATTCAAACAGCCGGCATATAGGCGGGAACGAAAATGAAGTAAACGTGAATTAACAAAGGAGAAAATGGAAGATAGCTTTATGAAAACTTTAATTAATCTGATATAGAAACAAAGGTGCTTATTAAAATTTTTAATTACCCGTATCATGTTTATTGTTTAGAAGCAAAATGACGGCGGATTTCGTTTTCATCCTGAAGATAAATGATCTACCACACTCCGTCTCGAAATTGGTTGGGATTTTCATAAAATGTCTTAATCTAATATTGTATCTATCTTCGTATGATTTTACAAGCCAATCGTATCAGATAAAATCTAATTTAATAATGCAAATGGTATATCTTATATTTTCGACACGTACCTGTCGATGCTGATAGCAACGAGGTTGAAAATTGAAGCCGTGCTGCATGTTACGTCCACTGCAATGTAAAAGTCGCAGAGAGTGTCACTCAGTTCCCAGTCCACATTCACCTGTGTGATCAATAAACAGAAAAAATAATGACATAAAGAACCAGTTAAAAACACATTTATTTATTCACAATAATTAAAGTAGTCACAATGAATTTATAAACTAACATACGGATAATAGCAATTATTATTAAAAATAATAATTTCTGTAACACTTAAAGAACACTAAATTAAATTAAAACACAATTAAATGAATAACGAACATTAAAAAGAAATGAATAACAATTACAGAATATCATTGAATATAAATATATTTAAAAGCGAAAAGCATTTTAAACTGCATTTTTTAGCTTTTTTTCCGGGTAAAACTAGAAAACGGAATAATTCATTATTAGTAGGAAAGCATAATATATTTGCTATGCGAATTTTAGAAATTCTTTCGTCGTCGTTCTAAGTTCCAGCAAATATTTTCGCTTTTTCTTTCTTTTACTTTTGCATGACTTCTCCTCTGTAGAAAATGGTTTTCAGTACAGGAATGCACTTAATATTTTCAAAGATACTTAATTTTACCTGGCTTTCGTTTAAATTCTTATTTCTTCATTCTCTACCAAATTAATCTGCTCTATTATTGCAAAATCATTATATATGCATGCTGCTGTTCTTTTCAAAAAGATGAAGAACATTCAAACATTTTTTAAAGTATTTTCTCCCTCCTTGCTGCATGCATTCAGAGTCATAAGGTATAAGGCATTTCGCCCGCCGTCTTAGCATGCCTTCGTGGTGTAGTGGTCAGCACGCTCGACGCGTATTAGAGAAGTCCGTTGTTCGAGTCCCGGGGAGGGCATTTCTCATTTTTCGTCTCAGCTGCTTCGAAATAACCTAGTGTCTCTACAGTGGCGCCCGAACTAAAAAAAGTAGTAAATGATGATGATGATGATTCTCCACCACTAAAATTTGACGAACGGATCCCCTAATCCTCAGTCGTCTTTCAAAAAAAGGGGAGTATATAAAATATTTCTCCCGCCTTTTTAACATGTCTTCGTGGTGCAGTAGTTAGCATGCTCGGCGCGTATTCGAGAGGTCCGTCGTTTGAGTCCCGACAAGGACATTGCTCTTTTTTCATCACACCTGCTTCAAAATAACCTAATATCTCTAGAAAGGTAGCACACTTGGCGCGTGTTTCGAGAGGTCCATGTTCGAATACTCGCGAGGGCACTGCTCATTGCTCATGTCTCCTGCTTCAAAACAACTTAATGACTCTACGGTGGCGCTGGAACGAACTAAAAGATGGTGGATGATGATTCTTCCCCACCAGAATTTGGCGATTGGCTCCTTTAATCCCCAGCTGTACTTTATATAGGGTAGTATAGAAATTATTTTCTCTCTCGGATAATCTATGGAATATGGTAACAGGTAGTTTGGCGACATTTTGGTAACGCGATAAAGGTTACTATGTATGACTTTAGCAATAATCTGAGAAGTACACAGTTCGAATCCCAGATTATTTTGTCTCAGAGAAATGAGAGATCATGAGACATGTCATGTGACATGTCATGTTTTAAGTGAAAATAGGTCGATGTGTACATGGATAAAGTCAAGCGTGTGCGCAATGCCATTTTTGTGCAATTCTGGGATGTTTTTTTAAGTGAAAATAGGTCGACGTGTACATGGATACCGCGTATGTGCAATTCTTAAAATCGCATGAAGCAGTGGGCGATTTTGCACTTTCTCCCAATTTCGCACCTAATCTTCGTCATGATTAAGCACTTTTGTTCCGTAAAAGTTCTAGCATAAGCGTAATTCGGCTAGCAAATTGTTGGAAAATGTTGAGGGGAAAAAATGCCTTTACTTCGTGAAAACAAAATGGCGTCCAAAAAACCAGCAGGTTGCTGTAGTAAGGTTGGTCGCCAAATTTTCGCCAAAACATCGCCAAGTTACCATAATCCGAAGATTCACCTCTTTCTCTTTTCTGCATGTCTTCGTGGAGTAAAGGCAGCACACTTGGCGCATATTCAGGAGGTATAGGTTCCAGACCCGGGCATTGCACATTTTTCATGTCATCCTTTTAATGAACCTCCAGTCCAATGGTGGACTCTTCATTATTTGGCATTGCTACATATTCAAGTAATTAATTTGCATACATTCTAAAAGAGGTTTATAGCTAGTAAGGAGTCTCACATAAAAAAAGAAACAATTTGTTTTTAGGTAAATGAAAATAATCTTATAATTTATTTGGGACAATTGCAGATAGAAATGATTTCTTGAAATTTATGTTTCAGCTGCATTTATTGCTTCACATGCAGTCATGCCGCCGAAGCCGGATAGTGGTTAGTCACTGAGACTAATGTATCGAAGAGTCCGGGTTAAATTCCAGAAAATGGCTTGGATGTCTGTAAATGTATAGTGTTTCTGCAGCATGGGAACTCTCTGAACATATGGACTCCTCTCGTGTGGTTCTTCAAAGCCAAACTTCCTCTCGTGTGGTTCGGTAGTACGGAAAGAAGGGTGGAAGACCCACTGTCTCCTATAAGGTGGATAAGGCTTTTGCCAATGGCTAATGTAGTCTTGTACTCCTTCATAAGACGAATTTCGTGGGCTTGTTTCGACAGGTGAAATCACTCACAATGACAATAACAGATACAATGAATGATTAACTTACATTATTATAAACATAATCAAACTTATATAATATTTTACAGCTCACACAAATGTTTTCTAAGCAAAAATTGGCTAATTTCGTGATCGTCGTCCATCACTGTATAAATTACGTCATTTATAATTAAGTTTCGGTGTGAGGACATAAAATTCTCACGCCGTTCAGCTTATCTTCATCGCTACTGTAATCGTAATCGCGGGACTGCCACGTGCGCCGCATGCATAAAAACTGGACAGACTGGTTTTTCAATCTCTTTCTGCTGACGGCGTTTCAACCGAGTGTGTGGGGCCTTTCGGCCTCACATATCACGTCCTGGTATTATGGAGTGCCACTCACGTCTCTCTGCTATTTTATGTTTCCCTGTGTTGGATGAGAAGATATGTTCCATTTTCTAAAAAGTGCACGATTTAGTGATAGGTATTTTGGATGGAAATTAATCTGTCGTGATGCGATACCAAAGGTAAACCTACATCGAATGTCTGAAGTGTGCCGTTCCCAATATGTGCAGACCTGTTTCGTCAACCTCGGGAGAAGCCGACCATATTCTGAAAGAATAGAAATGTATGATAAAAGAAGGTTCCTTTCGTTTAGGATACAACCACTTCACATAAAATAGTGAAATTAGAAATCAGTATTGAGCGCTGTACCACCGATGTTCTTAGATTAATGAGTCGGACTCTCTATTTGCAAAACAGACGGTACTCGTGACACGCATGTTTCACGTATCAGTTTTGTGTTTCTAAGATCTTCATGATGATTTTCGTATTATGTGTTATATATTAATATTTAAGTGAAGTTTTTTTTATGAAATTAATGTGTGATTAAATGATTCTGCAAGTGTCATGCATGGGGGTTATTGGGTAAGTCAACCATTTTTGTATTCCTATTATTAATTTGTCAACGCAATGTACTCCACTAATTTTAAGGCTAGCAAATTTTATGCAGGCATGATTTATATTTGATACTCCTAGTATCACACCAGATTAGGAAGTCGCATTTTCAACACCACATTCGGTAACAAAATTTTTTTCATTTACTACTTTCCTTTCTGCCTCTTTTCGCCACGTGGTTTGTTCAGTCCAAAATTTATGTAGAATTGAGCGGCAAGTTATTTAACTGAATATTTTAGAAAATGACAAACTAGGTGCATGTGATTTTGGCTTGTCGTTGGCTACACTGCCGAATATAGCAAAGACTGTTGGCGATTCAAATGCTGGTCTTGCTAAGATAAGAATATTATTAACTGAGGTTAGATTCCGTTTTGATAAATGATTTATTTGAAATTCTAGCAAATTTGCAAAGTTGCAAAGTTGAGTTAAATTGCTGAATTTATATCCATTGTGAAAGGAAGCTTTGAGTTTTAAATTAGATCTAGGTTGGCTGGTAAATTTACATTTGCATAAATTTCATCGCTTACAAATCGTGAGGTATAATAAATTTAATTATAAATGTGTTTAATTTAAATTTAATTATAAGTCTTTGTTTAACGATTTGATATTTTGGTGGAAATAGTTTACCTCATAGAACATACGTAACACTTTTTTGATATTGTGATTGATCTATTTAAACTTGAGCGCGCAAAATGTTTACAAAGCAATATCAAAGTTCTATATTATAAAAGGCATGAGATATACTATCCTTTATACTTTTCTTTATTTGCTATTATTATTCAAATGTCAGTTTTCCTTAGAAAGCACTGCAACAAAGATATCCCACCCTTTATGCAGTTAATTCTCGAGGGCTTTACGATATCCAAATAATCTAAATTTATCCTAAAATAGAAAAGTGTTTCCCATTTTAGGATAATTTTTTTCATTATTAAAGTAATATATCATACGTAAATATTTCATTGAATTTGTTTATGACAAAGCAGTCAAAGAAAGGATTACCTTCGTGGAGGGCTTTTAAAGGAACATGGCTCATAATTATGTTATGCATAAGGAGACGATGAATACTCTTGCACAACCAGCTCATTTTCTGGGGATATGTACCCAAATCGAACTACCAAGATCAGAGATTTCCGTTCGACTTCTGGTTGTCTTAATAACTTTCGCTGCCAACCACGAGTAAACTCGTAGGTCGAAGTTTGTGTTAAGGCGCCAGCTACGAGTTATTTTGCAGAACGTTTTCGTTTTACCAAAATGCGATAAAATACAAAAAATTCAAAAACAATCAAACTCGTGGTATTTTCATGTCCTTTGAAGGTTCTGGCTTTGGCGATTAGAAAAAACAACACGACAATTTGTGACAATTCAAGAGATTTATTATATTTAATGTTAGTACATTATTAAGTATTTATAAAGTAAATAGCATAGGAACTGAAAAAATCATCAAGCAATTTATAATAATCTTTGTTATAATAATTGTTATAAAAAGAATCAAACTTTGTTATGTGCAACAGCCAACA